CTACCTGTTTTAAAATACGTACAGTTACATTCAATTATAAGTTATCATCATCAGCGTTTGTCGATCCACTGTTTGATGAAGGCGTCTCGAAAAACTTCTTCAGCTCATCTTGTCATCGATCTGGAGGTCTTCCTACCGGCTGTTTACTTTCTCTTGGAATATGGTCTAATGTCGCTTTGGTCCAGCGATGGTCGGTCAGACTAAGTCATAAGAAGAAGACAAAAATTTGGTATAAAACGTGCAGGTTAACTTATCTGCATAATGTGTGCTCTTTTGTTTGCCTCTACTTGATCGCTTAAAGGTTGTTGTTTAAGCAGTCGAAATGTTGTCATTTGTGTGCAAGTTAAATAAATATCGGGAAACGTCGTGAAAAGTTATTATGGTCCGTGTCGACAAGAACTTTCCAAAATTATCATTCAGATTTAATACTTATGAATTATAAATCTGTTGCAAGTAAAATTTATTTTTAGATGTGATAAGTTTTCTGATTTCATGGTTGTCAGTGCGGAAAACAAGAAAATTGTTTTATTTACTAGAATTCCAATGTTTTTGTTTCTCGTTCTGCCAACCATGTAATCAGAAGACCGTTAAGTCATCTATGAGCACAGTATCGGTATGAGCCTTAGAAAATCCATTTTTAATTGCTCTTATTTGACGTTTAGGTTTTAAATTAATATGCATTGAAGTTATTCGTTTCGTTTATTAATTCGTTAAAATTCGTTTTCATAAAAAATTAGTCGTTTTAACGCAATCATTAGTTTCGAGCAGGCTTCCGACTCAGTCTAGATCCATTCTGTACTGCATTTTTCTTGAGGAGCTAAGGGATCAGGAAAAAATTCAGAGACCTCATCGCCATGATTTACAAGAATGCATCTGTTAGTGTGAAGTTTGAAAAAAGCACAAGCAAGTTCAAAATCAGAAAAGGCATCCAATAGAGAGGCGTAATATCACCGACGTTATTTTCAGCAGCCATAGAAGAGTCTTTGAAAGTACTCCTTGAAGTGAATCAGATCCTGCACATAAATAGGTACTACTTTTCAGACCCTCTTAGTTTGCAGACGACATTCTGATCTTACGAAGATCACCAGAAGAAGCGTAAAGAAGATCCCAAGACCTGAATGAAGCGAGCGTCAAAGTAAGACTGCAAGTAAACCTGAGGAAAACTCGACCTATTTTTAAAGATGTGCATTAATTATGTGTATCTGGGCATGTCATGTCTGCAACGAAGAAGCGATGGGGGAAAATCAGCAGAATGAAAATGGCTTGGTGCACTTTTGGACGGCTGAAAACGTTCCTCTCCGGGATTGCCTTTGTGTTGGAAATGGAAGGTTTTCAATCAGCGTCCCCAGGCCTAACCTGTAAATGCGGGACGTGGATCCGAGCCGGAAAGCTGTTCATAAACTGCAGAGAAGTAATGGAAAAATGTACGTTGGAAATAACAAGAAATGACTGAAGACGAATGAATGCGTAAGAGTACAGAAAGGAGTATTCGATGTCTGCTTGAGTAAAGAAATTACAGTGGTATTTTCTTTTTTTCACAGTACAAAATGAACAGACCATCACTGGACCAGAGAGACATTGCACTTGATTCTAATAGGCAGTAAAGAGCCTGAGGAAGACCTATATCTCAGTTGCCGGATGAGCTGAAGAAGTTTGTTAAATCAAGATAGATAAAAATATCCAAAAACAGAAGCATAGGGTGGTTTTGGATAGCTTTTCGTCCAACAGTGGATCGATAAAGTTTTGATGACTGCTTTCATGTGAGTTCTTATGATTAATATTGAAGTAAAATTGCATGGTTTTTCATTTACTGTGTGCTGTTTGAAATCTGTTCCATAGACGATCTCATTTTTTAAAGTAATGACCCACTGTTTTTCCAGATACTAGCTACTCAAGCGATACAGATGACAGTCAGGTGTAAATTTCGAGTTTTCATGGGTCTATTTCGGTCGCTAAAAATATTCTAAAATTTTTCAGACAGATTTTGCCCATCCGCTTTCCAGTCGTTATCAGTTTCGATATATCATTTTTGGATTTTACATAAATAGGTAAAGTACCCAGTACAGGTAGAGCCATTGTCCTTGTTCTTTGCCTATGTTGGCATCGCTTTCCCATATTTCGTATTTTGAAGATTTTGTCTATCCTACCTGATGTTTCATTGACTGATCGTTTCTCAGTTTTTTTGATGATACTGACATTAAAGTCATTGTTTATGCTGAACATATCGTCTCGTTAAAGGTTCGTTCAGAAAGCACCTGTGGCGTTTTTCCTTTCTGAGAAGCATCGACCATTGGTCGCTTGTGCTACGACATGCATAACATTGGATCACCGCGACGCATGTCAGAGCGTTAGCAAATTCGTCGTCGAGGTCTTGGCGTTTGTATGTGAAATGAAGAAGGTAGTTGGGTGCGCGAAGAAGTCGACTGTATATTAATTGAGTCGTTACTTTAGAAATCTTCGCAGATTCAGTCAGCTAAGAATGCCGAACAGGTGGTGAACGACTATGGGCCCTCTTTGGTCCAGAACGTGATTTTCGGCTCTGTGTTTCAACTGTCGCTGCCATTGCATCGTGAGATGGCTGAAATCTTAATGTCCGTTAAACTCCTGAGCCCTGAGGTTTGAATTTAGTTCAGTTTTGCGAATACGAGCATAAATTTGTTTTATAGTGTCTGTCTCAGTGGCTTGGTGCGGCGTTGAAGGCTTTACCTCGTCAGGGAACGCTGACCGCGTCGACGGAACAGTTAGAGCAGGTTCATCGTGAAATAATGAGGTGAGGTTTTATATTTTTCGTGATATTTCAAGGGGCACGTTTTGTGCCTATGATTTTTGTTTATGCGTTTCAGTTCCAATGACTCTTACGAGGTCGTTAATTTACTGCGGGAACTATCCAGGCTGTATCGCTGAAGACTATGGTGACGCCTTCTGTGCCCTTCGATATCCGACCCTTGACGAGTTCTGTTGTCTGGTGGACGTTGCTGTCGAATTACGTCTAGATTAAAGACTAGCTGCTTGACTGGTTTCTGCGCACCGTGCATCAGCCTGAGCTACTGCTTTCATTCACAGTGAAATAAAATGTTCCTCTGGTTTGCTTTTTTCCGCATGGTATTCGCCGCCGTAGCGGGTGTATTTTTCCATACCGTCGTTCGTATCACTTGTTTTTTAAAAGATTTTCTTTACAGATTTCAGATTTAAAAATTTTTCTTTTCAGATTTTTTTTGCAACAGGTAGTGTTATTTCTCAGCTGCGCGCTATGATGAGCGATTCCGGTGAAGGAGAAAATGTTTTGTCCCCTAACGTCGAAGAAGGTAGGTCTCTTGTGTTCGGATGAGCAGCATGAAAGCTTACTGCTTTCACAAGATGAGTAAACTTTAGATCATCACCTTGAACCGTTGCAGGAGGAAAACATTCCTGGTTTGCGATATCCCTTGAATTCACAACTTTTCGGAACTTGTACTATAAGGCACTGGTTACTGTATTATAGAAAGAAATGTCCCTCTCCGGAAGCAGAGCCTCCTTTATCTTGTTCCTCAATTTAAATGCTGGCCTCCTGGTCGGTGTCTGTCATGTTTCGGCTTTCATATGAAAAACTCACAGGCCAACCTTCTGTTCTTAGTCTTTATTGAGTTCCTCTATGGGCGGAAGAAATCCTTAAAGAATCTTGCTTTTCAACGCACTTGAAAGAAGGCAAAGTCTGCATAATATATAACTAACTAAAATTTAAACAACATGATAAAACTATTGAGATAATTATGAACAAGCTACCATACAGCCTGTTTAATGAGAGTTATGTCTAGAAGAAAACATTCCGGCGTCGACATCACGACTCGCGCTCAGGCCGGTGTTGGCGTTCTGGTAGAACCCAACCTTGCCGATA